GGTGTACAGTCTCTTCATCAAATAGAGAATCGTCATTTCTTGTTTCTGTGGTACCCTAGAATTGGGTAGAAAAGAACGAAAGTGAGGAATTAGAAAGTTATAATGATGATGAGGAGGGAATTAATCAAGTGACAGCCGTGTGTAGGTTTCAAATAATGGACAATGAAGCTCAACTCTTTGGACGAAACAAAGAGAAAACTGAATTTAGGCTCAAACGGGATATACCACATGACATAGAAACTTCCGTAATAAAAAGGCAATCAAAAACCTTAGGATCAGTGGTGTTGTGAAGACTAACAATGGAAAATGTGTTCGCACTGAATTTTGGACCCAATTTGTCACTTGGTGAAAAGCAATATATTATAGAACGTGTGGTAAAAGATGTATCAAAGTGTTTGCTTTTGATCTGTCTGAATTAGGCCGAACTAACTTAGTGGAATATGAAGTAAGAACCGGCGGCACCAACATACCACCTATGAGACTTAGGCCGATCCGAATTAACAATCCAGAGAAGGCAAAATTGTTCAAAGAGCATTTAAAAGAAATGATCAAATATGGTTTACTTGAAGAAGGAAATGGACCATATGCATACCATTGCTTTCTGGTGGATAAAAAGGAAGGTGGCACTGATCAGATATGAGCTGTAGAGAATATGAAGCCGTTGAATAAATATATAATAAAGGACAGTTAGCCACTACCGATTATAAGAGATATTTTGAAAAAAGCGTCGAGACATGACTGGTATTCGAGTGTCGATGCGTTCAAAGGGTACTAGCAAATTCGCATACATAAAGAGGATCGAGATAAAGTGGCCGTTTCGACAACATTGGGAATTCTTCGATATACCGTGATGTATATGGGCCTGAAAAACGCTAGTGAAACCTTTCAAAGGTTGATGGATTTGTCCTAAAAGACGATGAGTAGAGAAAATCGATGGCAGCATACCAAGATGATGTTGGATTATGGATGAATGGTGATTTGAAGAGACATATGTATGCATTTGTAAAATTGGCACGAATCATCGAAAAGGCAGAATTAATATTTGCTGCCAAAAAGTGTTTTATAGCACATAAGGAACTATGCATGTATGGATTTATAGTAAGTAAGAGAGGAATAAAGGTTGATACAAAGGGCTTGAAAAGGGTCCAGGAATGGACAGAACCAAAAAATCCAGATGAAGTCAGAGCGTTTCATGGAACTGTTGGATACTATCAACATTTCATAAGAAATTTTAGTGAAATTGCGAGCCCCTTAACGGAATTAATGAAGAAGGATACCAAATTTTATTGGTGAGCTAAGCAAAGGAAGTCATTTGAAACATTAAAAGAGACGTTATTGAAAGATGTGGTTTTGAAGGGGCTCAATTGGGCAGGTGCAAAGTGTGGAAAAAGGCCATACCAGTTGTATACAGATGCATGTGATGTTTCAGTTGATGCAGTATTGGAACAAGCCGACGAAGCTGGAAATTGCAAACCTATAACTTTGATTCTAGAAAACTCAATAAGCATGAGGTTAACTACATGGTAACAGAAAAGAAATGCCTGGCTATAGTGTTTGGTTGTAATGCGAATGAACATTATGTTGGTGGGACAAAATTTAAGGTATGGGTCGATCACCAGGCCCTCGAATGGTTATTTAATAAAGCAGAATTGAAAGGTAGATTAATGCGTTGGGTTTTGGCGTTGCAGGCATTTGAGTTCTTTTCTACCCAATTCTAGGGTACCACAGAAACAAGAAATGACGATTCTCTATTTGATGAAGAGACTGTACACC